GTGTCCACCTTCCGAGTAAAGGGCAGGTTTGTTTACTGTCCAGATTAAAAAGGTTATATATTGTTCTGGGCCAAAGGTTGGGCAGGTCTGCTTGCAGTCCTTTATAAAAAGACTGCTGTTCCCTAAGCTTAGTGTTCCTCAGCCGTGATACAAACCCACTGTGTGTACCGTTTGTACTTCATCCACCTGACCCTTTGGCATAGCTCCTGTGGAACTTGTGGACAAGGGGAACCGACATAAACCTGAAGCCCGTGCTGCTCCCTATTCTGTGGGTCATAAAGGTCTTTGACTATATGTAGGAGGCTTATGTCTTTTACCAGCAGCCACTGAAACTGTGGCACGGTAACTTGTTAGCTTGCAAGTAGGGTGAGATCTAGTATCCTTTATCCTTCTTGACAACCCATACCTTGCATCATATACAAAAATTAACTTGAAATGAATCATATAACTAAATGTAAAACCTAAAACTTCCAGAAGAAAACAGAAAATGTTCATGTCATTGGGTTAGGCAAAGGTTTCTTAGACCAAAAAGCATGACTCAGAAGAAATAAATTTGTATTTCATCAAAATTTAAAACTTTTGCTCTTCAAAAGACAGGATTTTTAGGGCAGCAAACTATTCTGTATGTTACTATAATGGTGGATACGTGTCCTTACACATTCATCAAAATCCATAGAATGTACAACTCTAAGAGTAAACCTTAATGTAAACTATAGACTTTGGATGATAATGATGTGTCAATGGCACAAATGTCCCATTCTGGTGCTAGATATTGATAGTTGGAGGGAGAAGAGGGACAGGGGAGATGGAAATTGCACTTTCTGCTAAATTTTGCTGCAAACCTAAAACTGCTCTAGAGTGCCTGGGTGGCTCGTCGTTAAGCGTCTGCCTTGGGCTCAGGTCATGATTCCACCATCCTGGAATCGAGCCCCACATTGGGCTCCCTGCTCAGAGGGAAGCCTGCTTCTCCCTCTCCCACTCCCCCAGCTTGTGTTCCCTCTCTCGCTGTGTCTCTCTCTGTCAAATAAATAAATCTTAAAAAAATAAAAAATAAATAAAACTGCTCTCAAAAATAATGTGTTTTTTTTCTCTTAATGGCAAGGTATCTGGATAGACATTTCTCCAAAGAAGATAGACAAATGGTCAATAACCACATGAAAGATGCTCAATATCATTAGTTCTTAGGGAGATACAAAACCACAATGAGATATAACTCTGTACCTGCTAAAATGACTATAATAAAAAAAAAGGGAAAATAGTAATTGATGGCAGGGATGTGGAGAAACAAACCCTCATACATTGGTGGTGAGTGTTTAGAATGGGGCAGACACTGTGGCAAATAATCTGCCAGGTCTTCAAAGGGTTAAACATAGACCCAGCAATCCAGTATATATCCAAGACAATTGAAAACGGATGTCACACAAAAACGTGAACATGAATGTTCACAGAAGCATTATTCATAAGAGCCAAAATGTAGAAACAACCCAGATGTCCATCAAATGGTGAAGGGATAAACAGAATGAGGCATATCCATATAATGGAGTGTTTTTCTTTCTTTTTTTTTAAGATTTTATTTATTTATTTGACAGAGAGAGACAGCGAGAGACAGAACACAAGCAGGGGGAGTGGGAGAGGGAGAAGCAGGCTTCCTGCCGAGCAAGGAGCCCAATGCGGGGCTCGATCCCAGGACCCTGGGATCATGGCCTGAGGCGAAGGCAGATGCTTAATGACTGAGCCCCCCAGGCGCCCATATAATGGAGTGTTTTTCAACCACAAAAAGGAATGAAGAACTGACACAAGGTACAACATGGATGAACCTTGAAAACATTAGATATAAGTGAAAGAGGTAGACACAAAAGACCACATACTATATGATTCCATTTATGTTACACGTGCAGAATAGGAAACCCATAGAGACAAAAAGTAGATTAGTGGTTGCAAGGTGCTGGAGGGAATGGGAAGTAACTGCTAAAGGGTATGGGGTTTCTTTTGGGGGTGATGAAATGTTCTATATTCAGCTTGTGTTGATAGTTGCACAAATCTGTGACTATACTAAAACCATTGAATTATATACTTTTTTTAAAAAAGATTTTATTTATTTATTTGACAGAGAGAGATACAGGGAGAGAGGGAAGACAAGCAGGGGGAGTGTGAGAGGGAGAAGCAGGCTTTCCGCTGAGCAGGGAGCCTGATGCTGGGCTCGATCCCAGGACCCTGGGATCATGACCTGAGCCGAAGGCAGACGCTTAACAACTGAGCCACCCAGGCACCCCTGAATTATATACTTTATTTTTTTAAAAGGATTTTATTTATTTATTTGAGAGAGAGAGATAATGAGAGAGAAAGAGAGCACATGAGAAGGGGAAGGGTCAGAAGGAGAAGCTGACTCCCTGCTGAGCACGGAGTCTATGCGGGACTCGATCCAGGGACTCCAGGATCATGACCTGGGCCCAAGGCAGTCACTTAACCAACTGAGCCACCCAGGCGCCTGAATTATATACTTTAAATGGGTGAATTTTATGGTATGTGAATTATATCCCAATAAAGATTACAAAAAAAAAAAAAAAGATGAGGTAGGGGCACCTAGGTGGCTCAGTTGGTTAAGCACTGCCTTCGGCTCAGGTCATGATTCTGGGGTCCTGGGATCGAGCCCTGCATCAGGTTCCCTGCTTGGTGGGAAGCCTGCTTCTTCTCCCTCTGCCTGCTACTCCCGCTGCTTGTGTTCTCCCTCTCTGTCAAATAAATAGATAAAATCTTAAAAAAAAAAAAAAAGAGGGGCACCTGGGTGGCTCAGTCAGTTAAGCCACTAACTCTTGATTTTGGCTCAGGTCATGATCTCAGCGTCATGAAATTGAGGCCCATGTGAGGCTCCATGCTCAGTGGGGAGTCTGCTTGAGACTCTCTCTCCCTCTCCTTCTGCCCCTCCCCTGCTCGCTCATGCTCTCTCTCTAAAATAAATAAATAAATCTTAAAAAAAAAAGATGAGGTAGGAAAATTGATTCTTGTTTATATAAGTACTCCATTCTAAGGAAATATGAATCATAAAAACAAATTAGAAATAATAACCTGGACAAGAATTGGACTTGCCACAGGGTCCTGTAAAATGTTAATACTAACATTTTTAGACAATTTCACATTTTGAAAGAATAATGTAACAATATCACAATATTTTTAATAATACCTATTTGTGCACTTTTGGGTTCTTATACCTTGCATGCATGTTTGAATATATTTGTATGTAGGTATATAATCTCGTTGCTGGATGACCCCTACCATTGGCCAAGTTAGCTGTGTAGCTACAGCTGCTGATAACAAAGCCTGGGTTCCTATTTCGGGGCCAGCTTCTCAACTGTACAGCATGTGACCAAGAATTTGGTTCAGAGAAGCCTCATCAATGCTTTTCAAAGTTTGGTCAGTGGCAGATGGAATACTTGGAACCTTGATTCTGAGCATCCAGTGATAGGCCCGGGAATCACTATTTCAACAAATCCCTCAGGGAGTGTGATCTACACTCAATTTTGAGAGCCCCAGCTGTGGGCACCTATTCCTGATTGCTGTGGAGAAGCTGTGACTGTTCACATTCTCCTTGCTTGCCAGGGTGAGAGTGGCATGCCTCCTTACTGTTAATCACAATGGGACTTCACTGAGCCTGGTGCTGGGTCTGCAGGCACAGTCTTCTCATTATACTGCCTGATATTTCCATTTTGGATGGGGTTTCTGCCTGCTGGGGTCCTGACATCCCATCAGAAGCTGCAGAAGCAGCAGACAGCACAGTTGGCTCTATCCCTGGATCCTATTCACAATATACTTACACTGGAGACCTGGATCATGGACTCTAGGCCAGGCTCTATACCTCTCCCCACAAGGGATGAGAGATGAAGGGGCATCATCTTAGGTCAATAATCTCTCGAGGCTGATGGGGGCTCAAGTGATTTCCCAAGTACTATACTTGAATGCTTCCAGGGATGGGAAATTCACCACTTACAAGTAAGCTCTTCTCTCAGTGGATCTGCTCCCTGTCCCTTGAATGGACAGCAGAGTTATGCCAGTCTCACTTGCTCATCTCATGTGGACACATCTATTCTGGCTCCTTCCAACATCTTTTGGAAACAGGGGTGTCACTGCTCTGGTTAAAATCCTTCAGACACTCGCATTCTTCTTAGGATCTAGACCACAGTCCCTACCATGGCCTACTATTCTTGCTGATCTTTGCAGCCTCATCTCCTCCACTCTAGGACCCTGTCCCACAGATCTTGGGTTCTCTTACCAGGCCAGGCTGTGTCTTGCCATGGCCTATGTCTCTTTACGTGGTTAACTCCTATTCATCCCTCAGCTCTCCAGCATCATTTCCCTGATCTCCAAGTCTGGATCAGGTCCCTTGCTTGTTCATGCTCCTAACACTCTGGGCCACTCATTAACATCTGCCAACGCTGAAATTTTTCACTCAAGCAATTCTTTCACCAATGTTTGCCTCCCCCAGTAGACGGCAAAGTTCATTAGTCCAGGGATCTGAGTTTGCTCTCTTGCATCCCCAGCATCTAGCAAAAAGCCTGGCAGGTATTTAATTGGACGGATGGCTAGCTCCAGGAAGGCGGGCCACAACTGGGAATTAATCAAAGACAGACCCGGAGCAGCTACACATATAAAGCCCTCAGAACTGAGGGCATCCGTGTGCGGCCAGGCGCCCGGGGAGCCCCCAGGGCAAGGACACAGCACAGCTCTGGCTGGCACCCAGCTGCCGAATAGGAGAGGGGCACTCCGTCTTTGTGCTTGGGGGCCTCAGTTTCCCTACCGGTTCCCCGCGGGGTCGACTGAGAACGGCCTCAGCGGCCCCCATGTAGACGCATGTCAGGCGCAGCAGGCTGTGGAGGTCTGAGGGGCCCGAGCGGGTGAGGCCGCCGCTCCCGGCGAGGGCGCTCCAGGTCGGTCCTCCGGAGCAGTCGCGCGCCGCAGGGGCCCCTCTAGCCGCCAGGACGTGGCGCGGTGCGAGTCGGGAAGGCGGCGGGCGGGCGCGGCCCTCGGCGGCGGAGGGCGCCATGGTGGGTGGCGAGGCGGCCGCCGCGGTGGAGGAGCTAGTTTCGGGGGTGCGGCAGGCGGCCGACTTCGCGGAGCAGTTCCGCTCCTACTCGGAGAGCGAGAAGCAATGGAAGGCTCGCATGGAATTCATTCTGCGCCACTTGCCCGACTACCGCGACCCGCCCGATGGCGGTGGCCGCCTGGACCAGCTGCTGTCCCTCTCCATGGTGTGGGCCAACCACCTCTTCCTGGGTTGCAGGTGCGGACCCCTGCGGGCTGGCTGACCCTGTCCCCTGCCTTCAGACCCGCAGCCCTCCCCTAGGGCCGACCCCTGCCCAGTGCTGACCCCGCCCCCAACCTCCCGCCGCACTGGCCCGGCCTATGGCTGATTCCCACGCTACCCAGCTCCTTGGAAAGACATTTAACCTCTCAGAGCCTCAATTTCCTCATTTGGAAAATGAGTTGTGATGACTACAATATTAAAGAGCAAAAAAACCAAAAAAACACCTAGCACAGGCTGCTATTTAGCAAGAGCTCAATCTATGGTGGGCGCTAAAATGCCATTGTCATCTGTATTAATACTATTAGTTTAAACCATCGCCTTTGCGGAGTACATTGTCTTGGCTCCTTCCACCCACATGGCAAACGTGCAGACACAGAAACTGAGATCCCCATTTTACATATGAAGGAGCTGAGAGAGGGCCATATGTCTTCTGGCAGGATTGTGGATATTACCATTTATGGCAGGATGTGATCTGTGGCCTTTGGCTTTTTCTCCCCACTCCCCAGTCTGCTGGACTGTTTTGCCTCTCTGCCTTTCCTGTTAGGAAAATAACAGATGACTTCAAGGGGCTGTTGCTGAAGTGCTCGAAAAGGCACCCCTTGTACCCCCTCAATGAAGGTGTCAAATCTTGAAGCTCCCACATCCTTTTATTTTAGTGTCTTGAAATTGTGCTAGGATAGTAAGATGACTTGTCTTAGTCCTGGTTTCTGTGCCCGTTTTGGCTCTCTGACTCTAGTCACATGCTTCCACCAGCCCTTAGCCACTTGGTTTGTTGGGGTTGTTAGAACAGGATTTGGAGGAGCAGTGCCAAAGGCTTTTCCTCTGTTTTCTGGGTGCCCCTGAGAAATCCTGGTTAATGGGCTCCAAGACTAGGAAAATGTCAGAAAATTGGAAAAATGAACAAATGATGTTATTTACATTAGACCAACATTCCATGTATTTAAAAAATAAAACATTTTGGTCCTCATACTGTATCCACGAATATGTACTGCCAGATGTACAGTGCCTCTATTTTTGTAAATCTTTTTTGTTTTGTAAATCTTGAAACGCCTGCTCTATTGGCATTCCTACAGTCGCTTCTGAATCTACAAGCCAGAAGAACGGTTTCCTAACCTGCTGCTGAGCATGTGTCCATTTCCCCTGTAGTATCACATCAGAATGCTGAGTTGGGCTACTTGCAATTTCTCATTAACCCATAGTGACAAGTAATTTCTCCATGGTTTTTATCTTACTTCTTTTTATTGTGCAGTTACAACAAAGACCTTTTAGACAAAGTGATGGAAATGGCTGATGGGATTGAAGTGGAAGACCTGCCACAGTTTACTACCAGGAGTGAATTAATGAAAAAGGTAAACAGGATTTCTAAGTGCATTTGAAATGGTATAGCGTTAATGGCCCCTGCTTTTATGTTGATGCGTTAGAGTATATTGTTTATTTCTCAAGGATCTAAGCCCTTTCACTAAAAAAAATTTTTTTTAAGTTTTTTTTTTTAATTTATGTATTTGACAGAGCGAGCGAGAGAGGGAACACAAGCAGGGGGAGTGGGAGGGGGGGAAAGCAGGCTCCCTGCCGAGCAGGGAGCCCGTCTCAGGACTCGATCCCAGGATCCTGGGACCATGACCCGAGCTGAAGGCAGACGCCCAACGACTGAGCCACCCAGGCGCCCTTCATTGTAAGCCCTTACCTCATCCTTGTTGGGTTTTGTTTTCGGAGGCAGGGCATATAAAGAGGTTCCCTTCTGTGTGGGTATCAAGGAACTAATCAAAACCTCCGCTTCCCATAAAGTACTTCAGTCTGAAAGCACACCCGACTTGATTTCAAATAGTTTTGCTAAAAAAAATACTCTTTTAAAATCTGAATCTGGGGTCAGAAATTGGAAGTTTGTGACTTTTTGGATTGTCTCATGTAATACTTTAAAAAAAAATCTCTGGGCAGTTCATCAGTGTCCCATAGTGGTGAGGTTCCTGGGGCTCAGTCATGGGGCAGCTAGATAGTTGCTGGCTGCCTGAGTGCACCCTAGGCAGGAGTAGGATCAGCTTTTACTTCCTAACTGCGTGTGGAAGATTCTTTCCTTGCTTTTTACTCCCAAGAGGTATTTCGTCGTCCTTAAAACTTTTCTCAAGTCAATTTTGTTATACTTGTCTTTTTTTTTTTTAAGATTTTTATTTATTAGAGAGAACGAGCAAGAGGGAGGGGCAAAGGGTGAGGGAGAAGCAGGGAGCCCAATGCAGAGCTCGATCCCGGGATCCTGAGATCATGACCTGAACTGAAGGCAGATGCTTAGCCAACTGAGCCACCCAGGTGCACCTATACTTCTGTCTTATATGTAGTCATAGTCTTATGGACTGTTAGAGATCAAAACCCTTCATGGTGTTTGGGTCACAGACCAAGGGAAACTAAGGAGCTTTTGTAATTGATAAGCATGTCCATAGACCAGTGTGAAGAAATACATGTGTGTGTTGGGCCAGGGTGTTTCTCTAATCTGTTAATACTGTGAAGGGGTCTTGAACCTCCACAATATAGGAGTCCTCTGCCCTGGGATGTTCATTTCTGACACTGTCATTGCCCAGTGTCAGCCTCCAGAGAAGAGTCCTCAGGCACAAACCTGGTATCCCTGAAAGCAGCTCTGCCATCAGACTAGTCATACTCACCTAGCTACCTGGAAGAAGCCTGCGGGGAGCCTCTACTTCTCGAGCACTTTCGGATTATGTGTGTTTCGGCTTCCTTCAAATAAAACTTAAGTTTTCTTAGTAGCCAAGTTTTATTGATACCACTGAAAATGAAACTCAGTTATCCTGAGAAGTGAGATCCTTAAAGGGTATGTAGAGTTTTGCCAGTTCTTAAGACTTCTAAATACTTCGATCCTGAGAAGGAATCTTCTGATGTGTGTGCTATGACAGACTTGTGTGGTGTTGAAGGCTGTTCCTTCTCTATTGAAGGCCACCCTGGGAAGGCACTGGAAAGAGTCATGGGGACTTCCCAGCAGTTCTTTTGTCTCTTGCCTGAAGTTTTTGCGTGTAATAGAGGCTGGCAAACATTAAGCAACATTGCTAGGCCACATACCCCCCCCCAAAAAACAAACAAACAACCCCATGATATTGAGCCATGTACCTGAAAGTGTCGTAGTTCTGCCTAGAATAGATCCTGAGCTCTAAAATTAGAGTTTAGGTGGGTTTTAAAGCTAGCTAGCAAGTAGAAATGAATCACCTGGCATTGTTGGCATCTTGAGACTGGACAGTGAAGGTAACTTAGGACATAATTTCTTTAGAGTAAGATTTAAGGGGCGCCTGGTTGGCTCAGTCGGTTAAGCATCCACCTTTGGCTCAGGTCATGATCTCAGGGTCCTGGGATTGAGCCCCGTATCGGGCTCCCTGCTCAGTGGAGAGTCTGCTTTTCTCTCCCCCTCTGCCCCTCCCCGTGCTCATTCTGTCTCTCAAATAAATAAATAAAATCTTTAAAAAAATAAAGTAAGATTTAAAAAAATTATACACTGCAGTTTTGAGGCAGATACATCTCTGTGGTGTATCCAACTTATTTTTTTGGTCTGAGAAAAGAAATGAGCATTGTTCTCTGACAGGTGGTATTTATCACACAGTTGCAGTGTATGATTTTTCTTCGGATTCAAATACAGATATACTGAGCAAACAATCTCAGTTATCTAACAGTCATCCCTAGGCAGCTACTAGCAGCCTTTGTGGCAGACCAGCTTTATCCATTAGCGAGCAGTAATTTACAAAGGGCAGCAGCTCACTCAGGAAGGTGTCATTACTAGCACTGTCAGAGGTAATATTTCCAAGCCATTGTCTTAAGGAGAAAGAGGAGTGATTAACTAGGAAGCTATCATTATTGGCTCACAGAATTTGTCAACTTAATTTCTTGGCCCATTTTTCCTGAGAACATTTTTATCCAAGAAGGAAAATGGCAGTACAGAAGGTGACTGGATTTGAAATGTGAACGAGAAGGTAGGAAAACAAGCATACTTGCCTTTGAAGAAGTGCTTTTCTGTGCATTATGTCCAGTCTTGGCAAGCGCTAAGGTAATGGAAAAGCCACTCCTGTGGTGAAAGGAGATGTGATTTTAAAGCAGCAAGTATTTGGAAGTATTAAAACAAATTCAGCCTGTCAGACGAGTGGAGCTACCTTTTCCCCTTTATCCACTAGAAAGAGAAAAAGCCAGAAAAGCTGATTCTGACCCCCCAGGCTAGTCTGTTGCCCAGTGCTCAGGATGAGTAAATCACACGCCAACACCTTGTGTCAAAGACCATACTTGAAGCAGCCCGAGCTGTTGGCAGCTTCTCGGCTGCCGTGGTCTTGGTCTGTTCTTTGGGAAATTTGAAAGATGGCTTAGGGGATTTTATTTTCCTTTGGAGTAATGGTGGTTTCTTTGGTGATACTGCATTCTCCTAAAAGGGGAAAGACTTGTTATATTTTGCTTTTCCTGAGGAATTTTGCTTTTTCATTGCTCAAAAAGACTGGAGTGACAGGCTTAGCTAGGAAATAGGTCATACCTTGAAAACTCTGATTACTAAAAAGACTCTCAGATTGATTCACTTGCACTGCTAAATGTTAAGGAAATCCATTCAAATACAAGGTGACAGCCAAAATGATTTCTTCGCACCCAGCTTAAAAGTTGTCTAAAGCCAAGTTTAAATTTACCAAAGGTGCTAGAGAGCACCCAGGAAGAATATATCTGCTTCAGTTTGCCACTATTTGAAGATATGCATTTACAGTTTCTAATAGTGTGAAATCCAGAAATACATAACCTTCACATCTCCTAAATATCCTGAGTCAATGTGAAATCTTGTGAATTACTACCTGGATTTGACTGATTTTAATTTAGAAGAGTGTTGTGTGATTCTGCTTTTAGAACCCTTCACTGAAGAGCATGCCATGAAGAAAGTTATATTTCAGGTGTTTCTGTTATCACTTTAAATTGTCAGCATTTATAGATCACAGGTGTCCAGACAAAAAAATTAGGCTCTAGGTTCCAAATAGATGGTATGTTCAATGTTTTGTTGAATTTTCTGTATGTAGTAAAATAATAATTTGAGTCTACTTTCCATCTAGGTAGATAAATATTGTATCACTGCTGTATTTTATTTTGTAGAAGATTTTATTTATTTGAGAGAGCGAGAGAGAGAACACAAGCGGGAGAGGGAGAGGGAGAAGCAGACCCCCCCACTGAGCTGGGAGCCCGATGTGGGACTCAGTCCTGGGACTTCAGCACCGTGACTTTAGTGGAAGGCAGAAACTTAATTGACTGAGCTACCCAGGCACCCCTCATGCTGTATTTTAATTTATAAATTAGATTTGCTGGAGTCATGGCTAAATAACCTTCTTTTTTTTCCCCAGCATCAAAGCTGAGGCAGAAGATTCATCACATTTTCAACATCAGCTACAGGCTTAGGAAGGAGGCTGGGATGAATGTGACATGGACCACAGCAGCTCTCTTAAGATTCCTGGTATTTCCAACATGTAGGAAAGAGGCAGTTAGAATGACAACCTTGTCTAGTTTGGAGTTTTAAAAGGTCTCATTCTTCCAGTAGCTATCATTGTAAAAGTGTGCATGGATATTTATGTATTTATAAATCATGCCCTTTTTTTATTTTCACTTTTTGAATGTCAAACTTTTTGTTAAAGATGCCTATTTTTTTTTTTTTGTTGTTGTTGTTGTAATAATTGCCGGTAGTGAATTTTACAATTTGGACTTTTCAATAATGTATTTTCAAGTCTGATTCTGTTCTATGGTTTTTTCCCCTCCCCGCACTGAGGCAAACCAACCCTTATTTCTTTTTTTAAGATTTTATTTATTTGAGAGAAAGAGAGCATGAGAAGTGGGGAGGGGCAGAGGGAGAGGGACAAGCAGACTCCCCACTGAGCGGGGAGCCCGACTCGGGGCTCGATCCCAAGACCCTGAGATCATGACTTGAGCGGAAGGCATACATTTCACCGACTGAGCCACCTAGGCGCCATTATCTCATTTCTTTCTGAAGTTTATGCCATCTTTATGGCCACTGCCACACACACTCATCTTTTTTTAAGAGATGAGTGAGAATCAATTCATAGGCCTCAGGTACCTACCAGCTCATAGGAAGAGGTGGCTTATGAAAAGGCATGTGGCCTTATTTTAAAACGGACACCAGATGCCGCAGCTTGATCCAGGTAGCCCAGTTGATTTATAGATTTTCTAGAAGGTCTCCTAGGCAGCTGAATAAAGCCCACATTCTCTTTTTCTGCAGGGATCCTGAGGGTTTTGGTCTTCTAGACTTAAGGAATTGCTTTGCCCATAGCCCCTGAAGAAATACTTGTTTAATGCATTGCTGTTTTGCTCTGAAATTCTCATATTTTCCCCACTTAGTTAATATATCTGTTCTTTATCCCTTCCCTCTTCCACTCATTCATTCATTTTAAATTTTTTTTTTAAAGATTTATGTATTTGACAGAGAGAGAGACAGCGAGAGAGGGAACACAAGCAGGGGGAGTGGGAGAGGGAGAAGCAGGCTTCCCGCGGAGCAGGGAGCCCGATGCGGGGCTCAATCCCAGAACCCTGGGACCATGACCTGAGCCAAAGGCAGACGCCTAACGACTGAGCCACCCAGGCGCCCCATAAATTTTTTTTTTTAAGATTTTATTTATTTGTTAGAGCACAAGCAGGAGGAGCTGCAGGCAGAGGGAGAAGCAGGCTCCCTGCTGAGCGAGGAGCCCGATGTGGGACTTGATCCCAGAACCCTGGAATCATGACCTGAGCTGAAGGCAGATGCTTCGCCGACTGAACCACCCAGGTGCCCCTAAGATTTTATTTTTAAGTAATCTCTTCACCCAACTTGGGGCTCAAACTTAACGATATTGAGATCAAGAGTTACATGCACTACCAACTGAGCCAGCCAGGAGCCCTCTCTTTCTTATTTAGTACCCACCATTAAGAACTTACCTCCAGGCATAAATATTGAGAGAGGGACTTCATTTGGGGTCAGCATATATAACAGTCACAGCAGAATTCACTCATCACTGGGCTTGGTACTTGGGATAATGGTGAATAAGGCAGTGGACCCTATCTTAGCTGAACCTACCAGTAAACCCAGGTAATTAAAAAAAAACAGGAATGCTGAAGAGGAGAGCTGGCTGTGGGAGCATGATGCTGGGAACAGACAAGTGGGATGACTCTCACCCACTGCTCAAGCCTAAGGACAAGCATCAGACCTTAGATGGGCACATCTCTGTGCAGCTTCTGGCTCTAATCTGTAGCAATCACTAGGGTGGATCACGTGAGGTCAAGATCTCTGATATAATTGGGCAAACCATTTCTCTCCCTAGCCTTACCTGGGAAATGGAGTCCTAGAAATACCTAGCACAAAGAGCTGTGGCAAAGACAAAGATGTTGCAGGGGTAAGCTAGTGCTCAGCGAGCCTTAGCCTCGTCCTCACATGTGGCCTAGCCTCTTTCTATTCTGGTTACCTATACAAATTTTGTGAGGCTTAAAATTGGGAAATATCAGAGCGGGGATGTTCACTTCTAAAATGCATCTTTCACAGGTTTCTCATAACGGATCCTATTTTCTTTGTAAGATATGATGCCCTTTTAAAATAATAACGTTCTGTCAGGAACGTATCCATTTCATAAAGCAAGCTTAAATTGTGCACTGATTGCATGTTCCCCTTCCCCATTCTTCTTCGCTGTATTTTTGAAGACTTCTCTAGTTAATCAAAAGCAAATTTTCTGATAACCATTTTCTAATGGGTTTTCTTATCATTTCCTCAGCTTAAGCTGTCTCTGTTTTTTCTTCTCATCTTTAAAACCTTCGTAGCTATCTCGTCTATAAAATTAAGCAGTATTTTAGAATTTCATCCTTTATGTTTTTCTGGGATAGAAAGTGGCATAGAAATCTAAATTTTTGCATTGCAGCAGTCCTTGTAGTGTAGGTAGAATGGCCCACTCTGAATGGTGAAACTGCAGCTCACTGCAAGATACTGGCCTTGGAATATGCAGTGCTGTCCAACACGGGGTAAGGATCAAATGAGATTATAGGAAGGGACATGGTAAACTGTTACCTTCAAATAACAACTAGAGAGCATCTTTTCTGTTAAAGACTTGTCTCAAGACCTTGTGAGAAGCAAGTACTAACAGTACAGTTTAGGGTGCTCAATTAACCGTGATACCCTTTTATATTACCCAGAAAACTGCTTTTTACAATATTCATTAGAGTCTATAGCCCACCTGATGAATTTTCTACCATTGCAGAGGCAAGGATTTTCCAGGATCCATGTGGACCTGAGGGCTTACCTATTCCATGGGCACTGGGAGGATTCATTTATCACTGCCCATCCTCTGAGGCTTTGCTATTTGTAGTAAACGGCACTGAAAATACACATTGTCGCATCTGAAATGAGATTTGTATTATTCTAAATGTCAGGTAACTCAGTGTTTCTCTGCTGCTTAGCCCTAAAGTCTCTGCTGGGTCCCCTTTAGTCTGGAAAGAGACTCAACTTCTGGAGTCTGAGGACTGTAGTCTAGGTATCATGTCATCTAGTCATGGCTCTCATCCTTGACTAGTTAAGAGACATCTTTTGGGTTCTGTAGGAAGTAAGATTAAACACAAATCTTAAGAGGCAAGAGTTTTAGAACTTAAACAGATTGTAGTCATGGAAATTGCTTCCTTTAACGAATACTGAATGCACACTAAAAAAAAAAAAATCTGCCCTCATGGAGATTATATATATATATATTTGTATATATAAAAAAATAAAATATATATATTACATATATACATATTATATATAAAAAGTTTTATACACACACACACACACACATTCCTTGGGGAAGAAGAATCTCTCTGGGCTTGCTTTTCATTAAAATAAAGAGCAAGCAAGTGAAAGAGGCTATTTATTCATTAAGTGAAGAGCAAGCCAGATGAGGTTCTGTTTCTTCCCCGAAGTTTACTCTATTCCTTCCAAGTTAGGACTCTCAGGTCTAGGGGTGGCAGTGTGTTGGCTGCCTTTCTCATTTTGGTTTCGTTTTTCTCACAATGCCAAGCATTAGGGGCAGAGTCCTTTGCATATGTGCTTTTGTCAGGGAGGGAGGTGGGCCTGAAGCTTTGCCCACAGACAAGAGAACCAGCTGAGGAGGTGGGAGTAACAAGAATACATCACCTGAACAGATTCCCTTGGGAATCAAAAAAGAAAAGTAAAAATTGAAACTATTAAGTTCCCATTAGAGCTAGAATTCTTAGCATATCCTAGGCATGAACATGTGAACCAGAACTTTTTTCCTTGACAGTGCTCTCAGGCAAGGAGGGCTCTTTAGAAATAACCCAGGTGGTCCCAGCCCAAGTCCCATCCTTCTTTACCAGCCTAGGAAAAGTAGGCAGATGACCCCAAAATAGCCTTGATTATGGTCTTCCAACCTATTTGCCTGGGAGACATGCTGTTAGGGCATCTTGAAGCAGGTCTTGGTCTTCCCCTGGTTTAGTGAAAGGGTGATTAACAGTAAGGAGGTCAACCTTGAACTGTTTGGGCTTGCTGACTAAAAGCCCTTGCTTTGCTGTGAATCCTAGCACCAAAATCTCACTGCTGGGGCTGCATTTTCCTGTCTCTTTGATATCTTCTCATATTAAGAATATTTAACTGGACCTAGATGTGAACTGGTAGGTAATTCCTTCCTCCTGATTTACTTCACATCAGTGTAGGGATCTTCAAAGTGGGGGATGATTCTTACTTTGATCTTTATTGGAGGCTTCAGTGGAAAAATTTCTCTTTAAGTACCTGGCATTTAGTGAGCTCTCCCTGCTTCATTCCTACCCTACTCTCCCTTTGAGGCCAAGCTGGGAAAACAAAATGTTTCAACTAACTTACACAAAAGAAAAATGAGCACCCACAATGACCCCCACAAGACCAGGCTCCATCCCCAGAGGTGCAGAAGGGCAGACCAAATCAGTTCCAGTTGCAGAGTAGGGCCAAACATGTGAGTTGGCACCCATTAAGTACTCAGTAGCTATGCTGACAAAATGAATGGCAGCAGGCACTGAACGATGCAGCCTTAATCAAATGCCTGGTGGTCCCAGAGAGGGAGGTAGAAGCAAAACATCCAGGCGTTCCTGGGTGGCTCAGTCGGTTTAGTCTGCCTTTGGCTTGGGTCATGATCTCAGGGTCCTGGGATCGAGTCCCGTGTCAGGCTCCCTGCTCAGTGGGGAGCCTGATTCTCCTTCTCTCTCTGCTGCTCCCCCTGCTTGTGCTTTCTCATTCTCTCTCAAAAAAATAAAACCAAAAAAAACCTCAAAAAACAAAAAAAACAAAACCTCCAGGATGGGGATTGGGGGTCAGCAGGTGGCCAGAGCTTATAGGTCTGCTGCAGTCCTCCCCTAACACCAGGTGCCTTGGAACTCCTGTACCCCTGGCATCTGGGGTCTGGGGCTTGTGGAGGCTGTGGATACGCTCCTCTCTCCATGAACATGGCCTTTGCCCTAGCACTAGCATGGCAGGCTTGCCTGAGTCTCACCTTGTGAACTGTTGAGACTTTATCACTCAGTGTGAATTGTGGACTGCAGCTGACTGGGAACTGTTGGGCTTGGTTTGTTGTTGGGCTTCCCCTTAAACCACTTGTTTTCAACTTCTCAGGTGGTGAGACAATGACTCATGCTTCCTTCTACCTTTGTGTTTCCCAAATTATTTATGACTACATTCTACTTTGATAAAAACCAGAAACCTGCTAATCAGTGTCTCCAGAGGATTTGGAGCT